AAACGAGCACACAAACGAGCACACAAACGAGCACACAAACGAGCACACAAACGAGCACACAAACGAGCACACAAACGAGCACACAAACGAGCACAAATGCTAGAATCTGACCGGACTTCATTGTTAACAAGTGCACTAATCTACCACAAAGAATCCAGTCTGTGCATTTTCAACAGGTTTACAGCATTAGGACACAAACGTAGCCTGGTAAGGTCCGTGGCATAAAAACAGCAAGACAGCAAACCCTGGATGTGGGTTGCACTAACATTCCGATGGACATAAGCATGCCGCATGAACGAGTCATCCAATCAGGGAGATAAGAGCTCAGAAAGTCGATATTAGATAGCAGTCAAGAGGCATGAGGTAGGCTCAGACTGGGGACTTTTCGCGCTGACACACACAGCCTTCTGCACAATCATGCTGATGGAGAGGATCAGGTGAACGGGAAGAAGAGGATGGAATCAAGCGGGAGCGGGGTCAGGAGGTGGGAAGGGAGGTAGCCGCTGATCAGTGGTATTCGGCAGAATTTGAACTCTTGATCTATTGACTAGTACTTAGATGTGTGCAGCATTCAGCCAGCTGGCAGGTACATGACCTTTTCTTTTGGATGTGCTTGGGAAGGACCAAACAAAGCATCTCTCCCTCGACAGACATCTCCTCCTTGTAATATCTGGAGTAGGTGCATTGACAACACCTTACGCACCCATGCCGATCCCCCATGTGCAGGCGGTCGTTTTTACATCCATATAAACTTTTGTAATACACATACATGCATGTGTGTCAAAACACATAACAACTGAGCAGAAGATGACCAGCAATCAGCCGTAACATTCGGTTAAGAGAGAGAGAGAGAGAGAGAGAGAGAGAGAGAGAGAGAGAGAGAGAGAGAGAGAGAGAGAGAGAGAGAGAGAGAGAGAGAGAGACGAGAAAAGGCAACAAAAGAGAAGACCTGACTCTAACTCATCGTTCCGCCAATTCGTGAGAGATTATCAAAATATGGTGGGAGGTATTCGTGAGCGCATTGCCAAAAAGACGAAGGCAAGAAACAGGAGGGAGGGGCTTAGCTCAGTTGGTACGCCCATGAACTGTTTAAGTACAGACCTGAGGTCGAACTCCGGTGGAATCAGATTAAAAAAAGAAGAAGAAGAAGAAAAAGAAACAGGAAGATTTGTGTGCTTTTGCTGGAAAGAGGAATCAGTGGCAAGAGACAGAAACATTTGCACGCTTCGCCAAAAAGACGATCTACAGGATTGGGTGGGTCCATTGTTCGTTCTGTTTTCACTTTGGCCATGAACTTCACCAGATGAGACATCATGGTTAAAACACCTCTACCTGCTGGAAAATCAGACAGACCCCTGCAGACCCGAGTTGGGGAGCGGAACCCCTGCGATCACCAAATGGTCAATTCAACAGACGAACCACAAAAGGGTGGAGGCCTCCTCCTGGCAACCAAGGGGGTCTGTAAGCGGTAGCAGTGGTTTAAGGTGGGTACTGGTTCCCGGGACCAACCACAAAAGGGTGGAGGCTTCCTCCTGGCGGGTCTGCAAGCGGTAGCAGTGGTTTAAGGTGGGTATTGGTTCCCGGGACCAACCACAAAAAGGGTGGAGACCTCCTCCTGGCAACCAAGGGGGTCTGTAAGCGGTAGCAGGGGTTTACGGTGGGTACTGGTTCCAGGGCCCAGGGGTGTAAGGAAAAAGGAGAAGGGAGGGAGTGGGGGTCTGCAAGCGGTAGCAGTGGTTTAAGGTGGGTATTGGTTCCCGGGACCAACCACAAAAAGGGTGGAGGCCTCCTCCTGGCAACCAAGGGGGTCTGTAAGCGGTAGCAGGGGTTTACATTGGGTACTGGTTCCCGGGCCCAGGGGTGTAAGGAAAAAGGAGAAAATAGGGGGTGGGGGTCTGCAAGCGGTAGCAGTGGTTTAAGGTGGGTATTGGCTCCCGGGACCAACCACAAAAAGGGTGGAGGCCTCCTGGCAACCAAGGGGGTCTGTAAGCGGTAGCAGGTGTTTACGGTGGGTACTGGTTCCCAGGCCCAGGGGTGTAAGGAAAAAGGAGAAGGGAGGGGGTTGAGGCGGGAGAAGTAGGAAGCGAAAGAGAGGGAGCGCACACACAAATTACCTTCATTTGCCGGCAATTCACGCCGAGGAAGAACCCCATACACCTCGATACCGCTGACAATCAAGGACCCTTTTTCTTGATCGCTGCCCTTGAGGGAAAAAGATAGCGTAATTGTGCGATTGGCTTGCGATCCACTTACCCCTATAACCAAGCCTCTCAGACCCCCAGATACAGTGCAATTCAATTCCCCAACTACCATGACATTTAGACCCTCCGCATCAGCACAGCGCACAGGCAGAAGGTTCGATGTATTTGCGACTGCTTCAGAAATATTCACCGAACTTTCCGATTGATTGAAGTAGACAATAACAAGGTACTGATCAGCCCCAGCTGTGGTGAAATTGTATGTCAAGCTGGAATTGCTGATCGGCGACCTTCCTTGTGCCCAGACACGTTCATGAACCCAAGGAAAAAGGGGGTCTCTCACCGATTGTCCGGACCGGAAATTGTGGCCAGCACTTTGAAAGATCGGCTCGAGAAGTTCGTCGTCGCTCTGCCATGGAAGGAGATCAGGCAGAGCTTCAACAACATAAGGAGGACCGGTGGCACCACATGCAAGCCGGTGCTCCAACCGGAGAATGGAGACAGTGCCGGTTCGCGCCCATGAGAAGAAATGTGTCATCCTCGAGGCAGCGGGAAACGGCACGACAACAATCCCCGCAACCCGTGGGTACCCACCGCCTGGCAGGGCGATGAACCCTATCTCCAGGGTCCCATTTGCGACATACACCCGGTACTCCCTCTGGGACTTTTCCCTTCTCAAGAACGAAGCAAGGGGAGACGTCGACGAGAGCGAAATCCGGTCCACTCGGTGATTCTGCAACGACACATCGAAGAAGACGGGTGGCACTCGATCCTCGTTGAAAATCAGGACAACCGCATAGTACCCCTCCGTTAGCCCACTAATGCGATACGTACCCACTGCCATCTCCTGCTCTGAAAACAGCGGAAACCTTCTATAATCGTCTAAGACCTTGTCTGTCGAAGAAATGCGGAGCGGAAATTGAACCCTAACAGGCGTTCCACCAATAAAAAAACAGTCTTCTCTCCACGTCAGCAACTCATCATTTATCATCTTGCCACCACAGTTGATCCTGATCTCGTCATCTGCGACACACAAACCCAAAACATAGATTTGAAAAACAACAACAACAACAACAACAACAACAATAGAATTGGGCACCCTGACACAACAAACACTTGCTCATCAGACGCAAGAACCGATGAGCAATTTCAGATAAGGAGCGTTCTTTAGTCGATATAAGAAGTTTCCTTTGGTCGATATAAGGATTTTTCTTCAGTCGATATAAGGATTTTTCTTTAGTCGATAAGGATTGTCCTTTAGTCGATAAGAAGTGGTTCTTTAGTCAACAAGGACCAACGGCCCTACCATCTTCCCCCAAACACAACGCACCCACATTTTGGCTGCACCTGACCGGAAATATAGCTTGTATACATTCATTATCACGATGTGTTATATTCAGGGGAAGACGGTAGCTGACTTGATGCACCCATGAAATGTTGAAATAGCGACTCAAGTTCGAATCCAGATGCGATCAGATGAACACTGAACAGAATAAAATAGTTCAAAATTTTAGTCGACAACGAGTGTTCTTTAGTCGATGAGGACCAACGGGCCTGGCTTCAGTTAGTACGCCCATGAAGTGCTGAAATAGAGACTCAAGTTGGAATCTCAGATGCTCAGAACAAAATCATCTGAATTTAGTTCACAAGGAGTGTTCTTTATTCGATAAGGATTGTCCTTTAGTCGATAACGGGTGTTCTTTAGTCGACACGGAGGGTCCTTTAGTCGGTAATAAGGAGGGTTCTTTAGTCGATAAGGAGGGTTCTATAGTCAGATGCAATCAGATGTCCTTCCTCTTTTCTGCATTTTTGAATGCCCACCAACGCCATGTCCTTCTTCCCGCTAATTCCTAGACCTCTCTCTCTCTCTCTCTCTCTCTCTCTCTCTCTCTCTCTCTCTCTCTCTCTCTCTCTCTCTCTCTCTCTCTCTCTCTCTCTCTCCCCCCTGCGAGTGCGTGCCTTGGGGCATCCGTATGTGTGCGCCTTGTGTTCGATCGCAGCAACTCCACAGAAAAACACGTGTGACAAACTTCCCGGACGTTATCGAAGACCTTGAGATAGAGAAATGGCCGACTTTTTCCCATATCATCCGTCTTGTTCGAGTGTTGTGGATTCGCTAAACAAACACAACTCCGCCAAAAAACAGTGACTGCAACAACACTGTTTCGGCCGATTTTCACCAACTCAATGTGTGCGTGTGTGTTGTCATATCCGCTCTACAGAACTCCACATAAAAAGCATGACTGTCCTTGACTGTCTCATCGGCCTTTCATCAACCCACCAGAAGGTTGCACTCCAACAGACAGTCTACCAGGATGCATTTGGCTGATGGATAAGGACTCACCACATGCCCAGATTTAGTGATACCCTGGAGAGAGAAAAGTGGTTGAATCTGTGTGTGTGTGTGTGTGTGTGTGTCTGAAAGTATATATAATAATCATATATACTAATAATCATATATACTTTTTATAGGATTTTTATTTAATAGATTAAAAAGTGTGAGTGTGTGTTGTGTGTGTGTGTGTGTGTGAAGTGAACAAAAAAAAGATAGATTATTTTTTTTGTAGGCTAATGCAACAAAAATGCTAAGAATGAAAAAATAATGACCTATTTCAACATACATGTCCAGCTATCTCCGAGTTTGATTGGCCTTTCCAATCATCTCTAGTTTTCACTAGAGGTTAGACTATGTGTGTGTGTGTGTGTGTGTGTGTGTGTGTGTGTGTGTGTGTGTGTGTGTGTGTGTGTGTGTGTGTTGTAGATTGTCACTACAACAGCCCCTGCTCCACCCAGATAACTGAGACAAGTAAATCCAAGGTCAAAGCTGCTTTACCTCTATTGCAGATAGGAAGCAGACTAAAGATGACCGGATCCAATAACGAAACAGCTTTACCTCTATAGCAAGTGATGTGAAGCAGAATAGATCGGCTATATGAGCCTATATCCCTTCATTGACTATGCTTACTTGGCCTTCTTTGGGGTACCTCATTTATTCCTTCTTGCAGCTCCTCTTTTACTTCGGCTTTTTTGGGGGTTACCCGTTTTATTTGTTCTTGCAGCTCCTCTTTGCCTGTGCCTCTCACGTACAAGGCTGGCCACGCTGATTGTTGTTTAGCGCCAGCTGCCCACATCCCCGTGTGCCATAGCGTCCAACTTGCACGTTATGAAAGGAGGCAGAGTGAAAGGGGAGGTATTTTGCTGTTCATTTTTCCTCAGATCTTCTTCTTATATCGTGTCGGTTCTCAAGTGATGCTCATTCGTATGCATCTACCAGTAGCACACAATAAGAGGGAGAAAGGAAACGGGTAGGGGTTGGGAGTTCTATAGGAAGCGAGGGGTGGGGGAGGGAGAAGGGAAGGGGTAGAGCAGGGAAAAGAGGAGGGGAAGAGGAGGTAGGTGGAATCTGTGTGTGTGTGTGTGTCTGTGTAAGTGTGTGTGTGTGTGTGTGTCTGTGTAAGTGTGTGTGTGTGTGTCTGTGTAAGTGTGTGTGTGTGTGTGTGTGTGTGTGCAGAGATGGGCGACCTTAGCAGGGAAAAGAGGAGGGGAAGAGGAGGTAGGTGGAATCTGTGTAAGTGTGTGCGTGTGTGTGTGTGTGTGTGTGTGTGTGTGTGTGTGTGTGTGTGTGTGTGTGCGCGCAGAGATGGGCGACCTTACTCCTATTATCCTGTCCACCTATGTGCGTGTGTCTTGTATTTGCTAAGCACAACTCCAGAAAAGATGCATGACGGAGTGTTCATCGAACGTTCAACCGGCTCCTCAGGAGGTTGAACCTGGACAGCCTGTCTGCCCAGGATGCATTTGACTCGTGGATAAGCACTCCCCACCTTGCGCCGAGTTAGCCATGATACCCTGGAGACAGACAAATGGTCGGCTTAACTCACACCAGCCCGGGTTACCCTAGCGCAGTCTGG